CCATGAGTCTCCTGAAGAAGTATCTTAGCAGCTGAGACTGCACTAGGGTACTAGTGCTAATCCAGGGAAGCAGAGTACTATAGTTGTTTGGTCTGGAAGGCAGAATGTCTCAGCTCAGTGAATATTCTGTTTCTCTGGGATGTGGAGGACTAGGTTAGTTCAGCTCTGTTTAGATTGGCAAAGACACCAATTACTCTAGGAGTACTGCACTGTTTCAACCCAGACCCTAGTGGCTAGGGCACTACAGTAACTGGATGCAAAAATGGAGGGACTCCTTGGCAGCTTGGCACCATGAACTAGGGTATAGCACCAGCTAAGCATGGAAATGGTGGGCCACCAGGTGTGAGTGGTTCAGTTCTGACCAAGCCTTAGGTATTGAAAGGTGCTATGGCTACTCATCCCCAAGTGGGGCACACTCCTATAGTGGTTCATTTTTTGGTTTTGTTTTTGTTTTTTAAGGTTTTGTGTGAACTCACAGGAGGGAAGAGAGACAGTGAGAGGCAAAGTGAGAAATCACCCTCAGGTGGGATGGCCACATTGCAGTCTCTTCTGTTCTTCTCCTGGAATTTTGGGCACACATCCACATGTACCTGGCATGATTTTCAAGTCACCAAGGCCAGGACTTGAACAGTGGTTAGCCATGTGGGAATTCAGAGCCTTAACCACCATGCCACCTGCTGGCTCCCAGAGGTTCCAGTTTAAGATGGTATAGTACAGTAGCACTGTGGGTCATAGGGGGTGGGGCACAATGTCAGCTCCTTCTCTTGAAAGAAAGCAGTTATGTGGACTCTAGGCAACTACCTCAGCTTGGCTAAGCACCTGGGAGGACTGCAAGGAGGCCCCTTTGGTGAGGACTATGGGTGTCCAAGGTGGTGATGGGGACTGCTCAGATCTTCTTGTTTACCTTTTTCTCACAGGGAGAAGTCTTTCCTAATTCCAAGATGATCTGAACTTAGGGGTAGGATGGTAGAGCCAAGCTATTTCCTTTGCTTTACTACATGGCTGGTTTTATGTGCTTTTCAAAGTTTCTGTTACTCCTTTGATTTTCTTTTGGCTATCTTTGCATGTGGGGGAAAGGGGGTACAGTGAGCAGTAGGTCTTCTAATTGGTCATCTTGCTGATATCACTTTCCAGGGATGAGCTTTTAAAAGAGAAGTTAAATTAAAAGCAACAAAACCCATATTCCATATTCCTAAATATAGTCTATATTCCCAAACTTGACTACTCACATTGAACAAGAATGTGCCCTTACAGGGATCAGTGTCCTTCAGAGATGTGGCTATAGATTTTAGCAAGGAGGAATGGCAGCACCTGGACCCTGCTCAGAGAAACCTGTATCAGGATGTAATGCTGGAAACCTACAGCCACCTGCTCTCAGTAGGTAAGCACAGTAACCTTAGTATCTGAAAGGTTCATTTTAGAATTTAAAGTTTAATTTGAGAATTTCTGTCTATCTCAGTTGACAGATGCTGTGAAACATATAAATATATCATGAGTTTGTCATTGATTTGTCTAGGGTTCTTTCTCTCTTTTGGGCACTCTGAATATTTCTGTTTCTAGACATGTATTGTTTGTTTTCTGAAGAACCACCTCTCCCTCATTGGACAAAAAGACTTTATTGATTGGGATCTGTAACATAAGCAGTATAATTTTTCATGAACAGGGTATCAAGTTCCTGAACCAAGGGTTTTCATGTTGGAGCAAGGAAAGGAGCCACGGGCATTACCAAGTGAGAGCCTCCATCCGAGCTGTCCGGGTGAGTGGATCTGACCCAGGTAGATAGGAGACAGGGCAATAAATATCAGATACTATGAGAAGGACTGGCATCTTTGAAATGCTGTTAAGATGATCTCTGGAAGGTTCTAAAATTTTGGATTGCTTAAGGATTCTTGACGTTGGTCTCTCAGATAACTAAAATGTTCTCTATCTAGATGATCTTTGTCATGCCTTGGCTTTTAGGGATCATGTGCTAATCTGTCTTATTAAAGACCTTTCTTCTTGATTATGTTCCTTTTCTTTAGCATTCTTTTTCCACCTTGCCTTTCCTATAGTCTTAAGAGTTTTCTGTTTTGTTTTGTTTTGTTTAATATACATTCAGACATTGGGAAACAGCAGTTAGCATAATGGCTATGTCGCTGGACTCCCACGTAGTCAACCATGGTTCGGGTTAGAACCAGACCCGGTGGCTTAGAACTCACACTGGGCACGTGTGTGTGCGTGCCCAAGATCCCAAGAGGAGAATGGAGGAGAAGGGATTGTGGCATGACCATCCCCCCTGGGGGTTGATTTCTCGCTTTCTGTCTCTCTGTCTCTGTCTGGCGAGCGCATGCGCCCTATAGCAAAAATCTCTCAAAAAAATGTATATATATATGTACATATTCAGACATTTATGGATCTACTCTTTTTTTTTTAATTTTTATTTTTATTATCATCATAATCTTCTTTATATTACATTGGATTACATATAACTTTACATTGACTTCCATTGCTTTTTCAAAAGGGAATGCCATGCATGTCAGTCAATACAGAGACATCAATCTCCCCGCTTTATCATTCAATGTCTTTTCCAAGCTTTTCCCAATAATAATTATTATTATTATTATAATTTTTTAAAACAGTCAATCACTATTTCTCATTTTGTTTGTTAAAAGACTTCACCCATCATGAAATACTTCCCAGACCAGTCCAGTTGAGAATACTATACACGTCATCATCAACAGATAATAAACCATATCTGTTTCTCACTAACATCCTGCCTATTGTTCACTTGCTATCTTTCTCTATCCTCT